TTTAGGAGTGTTTTCTGGTCGAGTCTAATGGGGTTCCAAGTCCTGGTCCCAGAGTCTATTTTTGGTATTCCCTGCGAACTCCATTGCTGTGTTCCCCTTGCTGTTCTGTTGCATGCCCTTAGTGTTTTGCCTCAGTGTGGTGGGATCAGTTCAGGTGGAATTCCCACACTGTGTGTGTCTCCAGTGTTGTCACCTGCAGGGCTATGGGTCAATGAGGGATGTCGTGTCTAATAATTGGGCTGGCCATATGGTCTTCTCTGTGGATTGGCTGCTCTGAACATGGATATAGTCCTCAAGGCTTGGTGGGCCAGGATGTGCTCCATTCCCTCTTCTTCCCCCTTCATTTGCTACCATTTGCTCTGATCAGACATGTCCCTCTCCCTGAGCTGCAGCTTCCATGCTGTCCTCTGAAATAAATTATTTGGGGGGTGGGGGAGGGCAGCTGTCCACGTAGTTGGGATTAGGGCCAGCCATTAAAGACCTCTCCACTGGTTCCCTACTCCATGCCGGCATGTTGCTATTGCTTCCAGTACTCCCCCGTGGAGCTTTTGGGATTTTCCATATATAAAATCATATCATCTGCAAATAAAGATAGTTTCACCTCTGCCTTTCCCAGACAAATGCCTTCGATGTCTTTTCTTTGCCTTATGCTGTTAGCTAAATCCTCCAGCTCGATGTTAAATAACAGTGGGGACAAGGGTCATCCTTGCCTGGTCCCTTTTTCAGTGAGATTGTGTTTGTCTTTTCTCCATTGACTACCACATTGGCTGTTGGTTTTTCATATATAGCTTGTATTGTCTTGAGGAATTTTCCGTCCATTCCTATCTTCTCCTTTTGGTATGCATCACCAAGGAAACTTTTTTCCACATAAAGGCTCTTGCTCATTCTTTAAGGTTAGCAAGGCCTGTCCTATGAGAATTTTGTTGGGAAACTTTACTCTCCCACTCTTCAGCCCTGATTTGCTCCTTCTGACTTCTTTTTGTTCCCCAAGTTCAAAGAATATTCTAAAGGAACACATATGAATTGAGTCCCTCTAAGATGACAAAACTGTCACTTTGACACCAAATTGAAGACTGAATAACTCTTAAGGGAAAAGGTAGAGACATGGAAACATCACCTTCAAAATATGTAGACTATAACTATATGGAGAATATTTTAAGAAATCACAGGCCACCTTTTGATACTTTTGTTTAATAAAGGTTTCTGCGATTTTGTAGCAGTATTTTTGGACTTGCTTTCAGACATATACAACTCGTCCTTTCTTTTCATCTAATTAGGAGCCTGTACCTTGGGGTTTATATTAGCAGATTCATTTCCTGAAGACATTAGTATTGTATTTCAAGGAAGTGCCATAGTTATTTGCCAGTTTATTCTAGTGTTTTGTCACTTTATTCTATATGATAGTACATATTTTTCTTTCTGCATGTTGTATGATAATCTCTTCATTAAGATACATTTCTGGAAATTAGATTTTGTTAAGATCATATGTAAGCTTAAAGAGATTTACCAATTTAACAGTCTTCATAAC